AATAAGAGCAGATATATTTATATATCCGTTCCAAAATGTGCCCTTTCCAGTGATGAATAGATTAACTAGACACATATACGGTTGCATTTCTATCGCTATTAAGACTTTACAACGATAGACAACTGTGTTTGACACACATAACTTTCTGTGTTTGTATGTACATATATAACAGTATCCATACTTCCAAAAATTATCTAAATTAAGTTTTTTAATGCTGAGAAACCTCTAAAGCACAGGACACCTGCCCTTGAAGGTCTGACTTTGATCACCCTGACATTTAAAGCAAGTATTTACAAAAAAAATCTTCTCACCTCGATCACATTAGTTGCTTCTTCTCCCCTCTTTTGAGCCTGCAGATAAAATACTAATGTAAAAAGCTGTACACTGAATACTAAAACCCTTAGATACAATAGATCTAATGGTATAATATTAAATATTAATCAAACATAAGAATAAGCTTGACTTGGAACATTATTTATCATGTGGTAGAGATTTTTTTCCTTTCAAAAATAATATTTTGAAGATTCAAAACAGAAACAGTAAAAATCACATAAACTTAATTTATCTCTTACTCTTAGCTGAAATTGTTTAACTGTGTCATTGTAAAGATTATTACTATTTTATTATTATCATCATTGTTATTCGTAATAATAACAATAATATAAATATTAATTTATAAAACTATTCATCTACTCAGATAAACGTTAGTAGATCAAAAACATATATTATTAGGACACAACATTACCTTTAACAGATTGAGTCTCTTTGTGAATTTCACCCTTGGGCCCATTTTTGGAATCAATTTTTCAATGTGTTGATCTTCAAGCTCATAAAGACTTTCAGTGTCAATCCCTTCATCTGAAATCAAGCAGAATGGAAACCCCTCCTGCTAAGAACATTCCATATAAGATGAAAGTCAAATACCCACCCGGATTTTCCTCTGACATCAACATGCCAATGAGAGATTTATGTAGTGCCAGCCAACAAAATTGACAAGCACTCTGGGATAGTTGTCAAAACATAATCAGCTGAGCAATACTAGAGTTGCCTCCAATTAAAGTCTGCTTTGAGGTTGCCAGAATTCGGAAATTGTGATTTTACACAGGTATTTTTTCTAGCACTATTTTTTATTTTTTATTTTTACCATGGATTTATCATTGAAACATAATTTATACATAAACAAAGCAGAAATTGTAAACTTTGTTGAGTGTTAAGAGTGTTGTGAAAGGTATGCATTACATGGGCAACTATTTACTTAAGTATGTCAATAAACATTGTATTCACTATCAGCTTGTACTTTATGTGAATACTGTAAAAGGCTTTCAACTCTCAATATTTATAAAGGGTGAATTCCTTTTTGAATTGTGTCCTTTGTCTCATAGTTGGAATCAGTTTCTCAATGTGTCATTCCTCAAGACAATAAAGGCTTTCCATGTCGATTCCTTCATCTGTAATCAAAAGCTGCTGCAGGAATATGTTATATGAAGATAATATAAACATCTCAATAAAATAATCCTGTCTTAAAGACAAAGGCATGATAACAGTTAAAACGGCTACATAGTTAAAAGTAGTGGAGCAGGAAAAACAATGCATGCATATGCTTAAAGGCTTAAGAAAATGCACAGGTATGCACTGCATGGGCAACTACTTAAGTATGTTATTAAATATTGTATTGACTATCAGCTTGTACTTTATGTGAATGCTGTAATAGTCTTTCAACTCTCAATATTTATAAAGGGTTATCTAATAGATCAAAACTATTTTAGAGGTACATGTTACATTAAACTGTGATTATATCAAACACTGAAGCTATATTTCTGTGGAAGTGGGACACATTTGTTGCCGTGCCTGCTTTTTTATGAAAATGTCATGTATATATTATACATTACCTCTAAATTTTTCTATCAACTCGCTCAGACCCCACTGATTTAGTTTTTCACAAACAAAGTCATCCATGACCAAGTGAAGGAACTGAAAGACAAATAATGGTTTAAAGATAATTTAGGTATTTATTTCATTACTTTAGAAAATAGGTATTTGGATGTTTTAAACAAGATTAAAAGGCTTACCTTGCAAAGAAGATATTTTTGGAAAAAAATAGTTTAGTCAACAAAAACGGATGAGATTAGTGTCCGACAGAAATTATAACAGGCTTTTTATTGAGATGGAGTCCTCAGAGGTTCACATGCAAAATGAGAAAAAAGCAGAATGCAGAAAGAAGGAGCAGGAGGGTGTGGCATATCAGAGGCATGCAAGCAAAGGTTCACTAATTTCTCTGGCTGGCACGCTATGGAAACCATTTTCATATTCTATATCTGTTTCCAGTTTGGACTTGTCTCGATTATTCATAATGAGCTGCCACAACAGAAATCAATAGTTTAAATAAAAAAATCACAAAAAGAAGAATAACACTAAGAAGAGGTAAATAACTGGAAAATAAAACCACAAAGATTCTAAGGAAAAGTATAAAAGGACTACCATTATCTGCTTAGAAGCTTTTTTTCTCCATAAAGCAATTTTACTGCTGGATCTATGTCATAACTACTTTTATCAAAGAACAGCAATTAAAAACTAGGTGGACTAGTTACCTGCCTGGCAGTTATAATTCCGTTAAAGATTTAATAAAACAAAGCAACGTCAGAAATATCCTTAAACCTTTATATCATTAGGCATATTACATTGAATCCTCTCTCTTGGGATTATTGTGAGTTTCTACTTAGTTACAGCAAAAAGACTTTCAGGAGTCATATTACCACCTTTATTACTTGTTTATCTAGGTATGGTGATATTAGTAAACCACCTACAGAGCAGCATAATTAGTTTTACCATCAGCATTGCATATTGACCTCAAGTGATTATTACTGTAGTCAGTGTTCTGTCTAGCTAAAAGTAAGCTATGTGCTGTATAACTTATGCCCTCAATACTTGTTTTAGCATCTTTTTTTATGAATCACTACTTAAGTGAAACTATACATGATGCCTAAAAATCTGAGCACATTATAGCAGTCTTTTTAAGAATAAAATCGTTGTGATCTTTGTGTTCCTTAATTGTGACCTTGTTCTAAAAGCCCCATACTGACTGAAAGGATAGATAAGATGATTTGTCATACATGCTAAGTACAAGTTCATTGCATTCTCAAGGTCTGTGTGGTATTGTTGGCATTAAGGCTTAGTCATTTGGGCCATTTTCTAATTGTGTTCTTCCCATCCATACCTGTGTGTGGTACAATGTCTGTCACCTTTAAAATACTTCTTCATTTTACCTCATTTCAATTTGAATATGATTCTTCTGATCTCTGGTATGGCTGTCGAAATTGTAAATGTCACACATTATGACCCCTGATTACACCAAAATAACTCAGAGTAACTAAGTTGTACATAGTTAATGTGTACTGTAGTCACAAAGTCAAATTTGCTTTAAAAAAAAAACGGTGTATTATTAAAATCATTAGTTGTTAGAACTCAAACTAATGGACATTCTTTTAGCAGGTGGCTCTATTTTCCAATCAAAAGTTGACCAAAATTATGTAAGGATTATTTTCATTGATGATGTGTGAGCTGTTAAGTGTCAAGAGTAATGTTTTCACAAGTATTTGCTTAAAGGTATAGTGGAGGATGTTTGTTTTCCAGGTGGATCATCTAAATAAGTGGTCCTCCTAATTGTCAATCATTCTGGTAATATGTTCAGGTAAGGCCGTCCTACGTGCTTGTCCCCATTTTCACCCAACCCTATGTAAAGAAATACCTGGCTGTCGATAATTTGCTCGCCTCTCGCACACTGATGAAAAAACTGATTGAAATATGAACGAAAGGGGAACTTTGAAACATATTCTTATTGTTTTTATATTTCTTTTGAATGGATGCCCTAAAATTTAGAGTTTTGGTGGACAGATAAATTGGAATGAATACGATTTTTACTTATATGGATACAATTTTTAGTCGATGTGCTACAGTCAGTATCTGATAAATATATTTTCTGCTCAGTGGATAGTATTTCCCGCTTTTACTATCAACACTATTATATCATAAAAAAAATATTAACAATATGTTTAAAAGGTCCCATTTAAGTTTAATGCATATTTCAATTCGTTTTTTTATCAATGTGCGAGAGTTTAGTGTGATGTAAGCTCCTGTGAGAGGGGAAGTAATTCTCTTCAGGCAGGAATTTCTCTGCATTTATCTGTCCACCAACACTCTCAATCTTAGGGCATCCATGCATAAGAAATATCAGAATATTAAGAATATGTTTAAAAGTTCCCTTTTCATTTATATTTCAATCCGTTTTCTAATCAATGTGTGAGAGGGGGGGTGATTCTCAGCAGGCAGATAATTCACTATATAACACTGTGGTGAGTTTGACAGAGTGGAAAAATTGCCAATTTTTTTAGTGGA